TCCGTTTTTTTCGGGATTTTTCGGAACGAAAGAAAAATAAAAAATAAAAAAAAAAGAGATAAAATTCCTGACTTACATCACATTACAGGATTGAATATTTAGTTTCGTTATCCACTTGTTTACATATTTAACATTACACATTACAAAAATTCACAAAATCTTTACATCTCTACAATCTCTACAATTTCGTTCATTTTTCTCGATTTCAAGAATTGACAAAATAAAAGAAAAGGAAAAAAAATTGCAGATGTACCTGACTTTGTACATTTGGAGATTTTTTTTTTTCAAAACAAATCCCACTCTTTCACTGTTTCTTTTCATAAAATGATCCTCATATTAAAACGAAATAAAATAATTGGTTTCATAAATTATATGAAATATGAAAAAAAATCTTATAAATCTTAATCTTAAAAAAATAATCAGAGCCTTCACTATGATCTCAATTTCACAGTTAACATAAAAAAAAAAGTAACAAATTGAAGACATAAACTGCGAAATATTAACAAATAAATTTTTAGATATAATTATTTTCCTTAGTATCTTAAAAATAATCATAATAATACTGCAGGGATAGTGGTCGAGCAAGTGAGGTTAGTCAATTTTCTGTTTCTGAACAGAAGAAAAAAAAAAATTTCTTTTCAATAATAAAAGTAAATTCTTCTTAATTAAATTGACTGATTATAATTGACAATTCCGAATACCTTTCCATCTGCTGACTCTAAGAAATCGGTTTCTCTCTTCGGGTTGAGGGGGGTGCTTCTACAGCATCTTCCATATCGGTTTTGCTCATCATAGGGGTCCCAGAGACAACTGCAACATGATCCATGCTATTTGCATTGAGAACGAAAGCGTCAAATCGACGATCGATTGCCCTTCTATGATCATTTTCATCCCTTCACGTAATTCCTCATTGGGAACAAACGTGGCCACCTGAATCATCATTCGATGAATGTCGGTGCAAATCATTCCGCTTCCATAACTCGAGCCACTGGTTGTTGAGATACTTTTGAAGCATTCCTTGAGCCACCTAGTGATCATAACTGGTTCGCGAGCAGTGCACACATCCTTCATTTCGATGAGCTGAGACGCTATTCTCTTCTTTATTGCTCCGTTAACGTTTTTAGAAATGTTGAACATACCTCACACTTTTTAGAGTACTTGTACGCCCAAATTCAATTTTTATATTACCGACGCTGCCCCCGGATCTGCGATACGCTGGATTAGCCAATTTGATCCTACCGCCGGTACTGTTAATGATCTGTAAAAATAAAGAACATAATTTTCATCAAAATCCAATTTGAATTGATTTCAATGGAATAAGAAGACGATAAAAAATTAACAATTATATTTTCCAGATGCCTTTTATTGTTATTTAATTTTTTTTTCATGTTCAAGCTTTGGGTTCGAACATTAAAATAAAAAAAAAGTAATTCAATTTTACTCTGCCAATCCCAAGGTATTAATAAGTGAAGTAATTTCGTTGCCCCATTCTCTCCTATTTTTGTTTTTAATTGATAATTTTGATTAGCATTTTCTGAAAATTTAGAAGTGTCGAACTTTATCAAACTTCCCTACCTAACAGTTTTTCCATTAAATTTAAAACTTCCAAAAAAATAAAGTAGACCAATCAACTATGATTGATTTAAGAAAACAATGTAAATTGCACTAGAATTGCGTAAAAAATACGTAAATGAGATTACCGTAATTGATACATTGCGATCTCCTTATTCTACTTCAACGCATCGTCCCCTCAAAAAATAATGTGAACCCTTTTAGCATCATTATCATTGACGATACATTTGTAAATCCATTTTGAAGCAGATTTAGGTAATTCTCGTAACCCCTCGGTGCACTCTACATATGGATTTATCCTCCTGAAACAATAGAGATTTTATTTCTTGAATAACAAGTGTCAATGAAACTAGGTTGGATTGATTCAAGTGTACAGGAGAAATATTGCCTAAAAATACTTAGATGAGAGAAGCCCCCACATTGAAATCAATGGCCTTAGATTAGATTAAATTAGATTTTAAGTACGCGGCCTTTGTTGTCAGTCTTAACAGATCCGTTGCATCCTTGTTCGCAACTTGATTTGCGATGAGGAAGGCAGTTCCCCACTATCTCTAGTCTCGTCGCTTGTCCCATCAGATGTGTAGACTATCCTCTTTTGCTTCATTACAGAATCTGCACCACCCATCTGAGTCCATGCCGATGACTCTGTAATGTTCTTTAAATTTGCCATGTCCTGTGAGCATGCTGATCGTAGTGGTCAGACTTTTCCTGTCATAGCCAGTAGGTGTTTCGACCTTTTTTTGCTGGCGCCCGGCATGATTGCCCTAGCCTTCCCAAGGGTCTTTATGTCTTTCCACAGCTCCGATTGGTCACGTCGGAGCTTTTCCTTTATGTGGCTTATACCCAGGGCTTCGGTAACTCCCATTTGCGAAGACTCGTTCCCATTTATTGCCTAGTGCTTCGCCAGCCGATTTGCCGTTTCGTTGTCGTGGATGTCCTCGTGACCTGGGACGCAGACAAGGGTTACCTTGTTGCTGCTCCCGAGTCTCCAGACCAACTTAAAGTCAGCACTGGATTTGAGAAGAGCTCTTATAGCAGCTTGACTATCTGTCCACACAAAAATGTGTTTGTTGATTGTCATCCGGAACACCAGAAGCTCTGCACACTCTTTGATTGCCAGAACTTCCGCTTGGAATACGGTGGCCACAGTCCCTAAGGAACAGTTGCACTTGTAGTTTTCCTCTGGCCCGTACAGTCCTGCTCCAAAGCAGGCTCTGTATCCTGAACCATCTGTATACCAGTGCATGATATTGGTGCCTCTTTTCTTCAGAGTTCCGCAGTTCTCCCTCTCAGGAATGTAGGTTTTAAAGGCCTTCCTGATTTGGTACTTCCTGGTCATTCTATCTTAACTCATGTTCAAGGGATGTTCCTTGAGGATGTCAAGGAAGGTGCGGGCCGCACCTTCTGAACGCCGGATTCAGTCTTACGCATCTTCGATAATTTCGACATATTTCGATATATCGAGATATTTTCGACATATCGATACTTTTTCGTTTCTCTTGTTTGCTATAAGATACGAATCGAGCGATAATCCAGATGCGAGGAAAAAACCTCACAGATCAGGCGAGCTCTAGACCTATCAGCCTCACCCTCGCCATCAGCAGAGTATTCGAGGCGGTCATCAATAATCGCTCGCCTTACATATGAAAAAAAAAGTAATCCCACATAACCAAAATGGTTTCAGACACTCAACATTACTTGTTGTAAAGGAACTATTATCTGTCAACAATGAAAATTTGTTCAAAAGAAATTTTGTCGGAGCTGTACTCCTGGATTTAGAGAAAGCGTCCGACTCTGTCTGGTTAAACGGGTTAATATACATATGAATCAAAAAAATATTTCCTACCCCATTAATTAGAACCATTTGTCATATGACCCATGGAAAAAAATAAAAAATGCATAACTACAACAATAACATCCATTCTAAAATATTCCGCATCCATTAAGGTTTACAATAGGGTACCACCAACTCGCCCTGTTTCTTCTCTATATTCATGGCACATATCATTAATGCATTCGCATTAAGCTCCGATAATAATACATTCTCTATTGCATATGCTGATGACAATCCCAGAATAGATGGTTTTAATATCAATCTCACTAGAAAATATCATGCTAAATTAAAACTCATTGATAACCCGGTTATAAACTCCTTTACTGAGTGTTCATACCAGGAAGCCAGTCACAGAGACCAATCCGAAAATGATACACCCGATTATGATAAGATAAATAGATCAGAAATCAGAAACCGAGAAATTAGATACAGAAATTCTTCTGAATCTCCTAATCTGGGTAGAAACATCTAGACTCGACAAAGTGGAGGAAACTTCAGACCCCCCTAATTATCGAATAATCAGTCTGGTATTAAATCCAACTATTTTTATAATACAATGTCTCAATACCGATAGAGGACTTTAAATATCTCTCCATTCTATCTGTAACACTGGAATGTCTCATCTAATTATTATCATAATAATTCAAAACCTCGCACATAATGATCAGCCTTTTTTTTGACACACATAGGCACTTATCTCTTCTTCTTTTTTTTAAGGCTACACAACCAATAAGTAAATATTCTAAACGCCTTTTACACTTCTCTGTCATAATCAAACATATAACGATGAAACAGCAATAGTAGGTACCCCTACTTATACACACTTGCTTAGAGAGCTCTGCGTAGCCATTCAGAAAATTTTACACCAACTATATATCATCTCTCTTTTTTGAAACTGTTTTTTAAAAACGTATATATGTACATATTCCTGCTGGCCTCAATAGAAACAATGTTGAAAAAAAATAGTCCAGTGGTCGCATCGTAGGCTTAGTATGCGAATGGTTTCGAGTTCAAACCCAACCATACGTAGGCGCGGGAAATATTTTCAGTCAACAATGTCCGTTTTTCCAAGCGTCGTTGAGTTTGGATTTATGAGTTAAGGTATAACTAATAGGAAAATTAAATGATGAAAGATGCATTAATTACTTCTTTTTTTGTATAATTTACAACAACAACTGACAACCTTGCTGCCATTGATTTGCCCATCTTGACCCACGGTCTATCATTTTTATTTTCATTCCACTGAACCCATACCTCGTCACACAAGGTACATATGGGTGCATTTAACTCACTCTGCTTCCACATGTCATATATAATTTAATTAATTAAATATGAAATTACGTCGGCCGTCAGCTGGTAGCCTGGTTTGGCCGCGTTTCGCCTGCGTGGCCTGGCGTCATGTTATCTGGCCGAGCGTTCGGCCCCTGGCCGAGCGTTGGAAGCCTGGCCACCAGTATTGGACCAAGCGTGTTCAATTGGTATTTCCCTACCTGCGTTTCGACCTCTTCACTATCGATTTTCGTTGCTGCATTGCATTGTTTAGTGGTTATGATAGTGAAGGAGATTAATTGATGATTTCCATTTTTTAATTTAGGAGTTCTCCGAAGCCACGCATGATGGTCTGTGGCTCGCCTCCCTCGCAGAGCCCAGCACCGAGTATGGTAGTTTCTCCAACACCACCACCGTCCGATCAAGATTCAGAGTTACATACCTTTAGAGAAGCTATTGCCTTATCCGGTATGTATTTTTATTTCACAAATTGAATTTTCTTGGAACTCGAAAGTTTAAAATAGAATATTAAAATTTTTTAAAATACAATTTTTATTCATTTTTTCAGATAATGTATAAATAAATGATAGGTTTTTGAAAAATTCGAAGATGAATTAGGCCAATCGTCATATTTTTTATTACATGTACATCAAAATTAGCACCTATTGGTATATATACTGCTCTGCATTACACTATTGAATCATCGAAAGCTATGATTTTGCTCGTCTTTATGATTTTCTATACCACTCTTTCGACTAAATCTTTGAATTTCATTTTTTTTTCTACATAGTTAAAGAAAAGATTTCAATTACCTCTTGAACTTATTAAATGGTGTCTCCGCGATTCAGTTTTGCGCGTCTTTCTCAGATCACTGGTACTATCCCCATTTCTGCAGATGGTGCTACAAGTTTAAAGTCCCAAACAATTTCTATTCAACGCTCCCACTCACACTGGTTCCACGGCACGAATTAATTTATCTTTTGAGCAGAAGTGTAAAAAGTTGAAATTAATTGTGCGACTAAATTATGGGAAAAAGAAGTTAGACCCCAGATTTTAACGATGAAAATCGTTTAGAGAGACGTTTCCCTCACCTCCATGAGATATTGGAAATAAGACTTCCTCGTAAATATAGACACGTCAACTAATTAAGTAGAAATAAAATTTTTTGGTTTACATCAGAGGTGGCCTAATGAATCGATCCCGTTGTAACTAAAAAAGGTGATGATCTCCACGATGCTTCTATACCCATCCTTTTTTAAACACAAGTTAAATGAAGAGAAAACTACTGGGGGGATAAGAGTCCTGGATTCTCACAATAACGCAGACACGAGTCCTTGCCCTTCTGTTGATATCCGCTGATGATTACTCTTACACAAGGGTCCTGAATTCGTTTGGGGCCGTACATGACCTTATTCCCACTGAAGTAGTAGATATAAGATCTGCCAGCTCTGTTCATTTATCGGACTCAATATCTTTCTCTTCGTCATATTCAAGTCCGAATTTAAAACATCGTAATCGGTCCCCAAGTTGAAATCGTTTGGGGTATACCGTCAAAACTTCGTTAAAAGTCAACAATAGAGCTTCATCGAAGAACCCCAACCCTTACAGAGACAATACTGAAGATCACTCAAAAAAATGTAATCCCTCTAAGGAATTTCCAATAAATATATGCCGAACCCAGCTCCTTCGAAGTGTAAAGAGAACTCTCAGATTAAGAGTGAAACAAAAATCGAAGAAGTTAGCTCCCTCTACACCGAGATTTCCGCGTTGTTGGGGAACCGCTCATCTGCTGAAGATCCTTTGGACTCTGCCATCAGTACGAATAGTACTTGGCCTTCGGGCAAGATTCTCCTGAAAGCCTTATCCCAAGATGAACCCACGGAAATTATTGACGAATACTGTACGTCGGAGAAGTGTGAAAAACTTAATGCCGATTGCCTAAATGCAGAAATGAAAGCTTCATCATCCGAGGGAACGGTATGGGGAAATGGTTGATTTCATTTTAAATACGCTCTACCCGCTGTTGAAGAAGCCTCAAAACAGGTTTGCCAGGCGCATGAGTCTGAAGCTTCCGGACAGAAAAACTAACCTTGATCCAGATAGACCTTCTGGAAAGATCACGCTTGCCAGGGGAGAAAATAACCTATGTAAGTAATAATGCAGGCAGATTGAGTCAATTTTGGAGGCCTCGTGTTCTTTATTTGAGGATGGAACCATTAATTTGAAGTTGAGAGATGGAGTTGCCATTTGGTGTCTATATAAACTCACAGAAATGTGACGGTTATTGACTCAGTTATAAGAAACAGGCGCGGTGAGAACATGTCAACCATCCAAAAAACAATTAATTTCTAACATTTCGCTTGTACCTATATCGGATGGATACTCTTGCCTCATTTTAGACTGGAAAACTGTTAATAAACTTGTCACCACAAAGCATTGTAAGTTCAGGGATTTGTGTACTGTCAAAAATTGAATGTCTCCTGATTGTTACGTACCAACACTCGATGTTAAGAACAACTATCATATGGCATTGATTTTTGAGAGTGATTCAAAATACCTAGATTCTATTTTGAAGGGACTTTTTATAAGTTCACTTGCCTACCCTCTGTTCTTAATACCGTTCCAAATGTATTGTTTCGACCCCTTTATTAGTCGTATATCTCGATGTCATAACATTTTTCTTGTCAGAGAATCACGTGACATTTTTCAAATTTTCGTCAATGACACTCAGATTACTCTTCAAGTTTTGGTTTTTTTACATAACTATAACAAGAGTTCCCTTGCACTCAGTAAACAATGCAATGACTGCAACGCCAATGAAGGATCTCAATTGGTTATTACTAAGTATAAATTTCCGTGGCAACCCTATTAATGAAGTTGAATATAAATTGGAGATTCATTCAGATGTTCCTCGTTTAGGATGCTATTTCTTGTGCGGGTCCTGACACGTTGACGATTCACCTCATCCAATTAATTACTTGGAATTACTCTCAACCTTTTGCGGTGTGCAGGATTTAAATCTCTGGGATTGTGATCGTTTCCCGCGTTTTAACAATACGACTGCTTTTTCGTATGTCCATGGTATGTGGGGTATTCAGATCCTAAACCTTAACAAGTTAGCGAAAGAGATGTGGCAGTCGTCTGAGAGACGCCGCCTGTGGATTGTCGTCTTGTACGTCAGCTCAATTGATAACAGCATTGCTCGATTACGAGTCAAGACGTTGAGAATCGGAGACTAAGCATAGTCTGACACCTCATGCCTTCGTCAAAATTGGTCGGGTCTTCAGTTGCCCTGCAACTAGATCTAATTGCTCTCTAATACGAAATGTAAGAAATGTATGGCATGCTAACATGATCCAGAATCGGTTGCAGCACATGCCTTCACTGTAAATTGGTTCTCTCAGTCCTTTTATGCTTTTCCACCATTTTCAATTATATTGAGAATTCTACGGAAGTGGTTTGATAGAACCAAGGGCATTATCGTGGTCCCTCTATGATAAGCTCAACCTTCGTTCCCCCTGTTCAAGAAAATTTTGGAATGCGATTCAATTATGGTTCAACTCAGTATTAATTTAACTGATTCCTTAAACAGGGATTACACTCTCTGCAGAAGGAGCTTGTCCTGGTGGCAAAAGTATTAGCAGAAAGGCTAAAGAAATGAGAGGAACACTGCGAGAATCTTCTCAAGTCACTATGAATTCTATTAGTTTCATCAAGGATGCAGTATGCAATACTCACCTCTGAAGAAATGGTTGCAATTTTGCCTCACTTATATAATTTACGTTTACCACTTGGATATAACTTCTATGTTTCCCATCCTAACTGAGGAAATTTATAAAGGAGCCTTCCGGAGGACAATCAACTGTTATCGTTCAGCTTTACTCGTCTTCCTGGGATCGGAGGTTGGTTTGAACATTTCTCCAAAGGTGTTAGCAACAAAAGACCTTCATAACCCAAGTATACTAACATTTGGAATCCAAAAGTGATATACCTTTTGTTTAGGCCTCTTGGAAACAGCCTTTCAGTGAATCCCCCAGCTCAAAATATACACCAAATACAAATGGTCGCGGTGATTGATATTACGAACGTACGATTTCCTGTGACGTCATAGAGACCACAATCTTGGTTATGATCACAACCTCCCGAATCTCATCTGGTACTAATAGAAAGCAACCGACTCTGATACTACCTTTGGAGGATTTGTGCAGCTACAATTCTTCAGGACTAGCTTTAGGTTACAAAGTACTTTTGATTCCCCAACAATAATCTACTAATTCCAAAGACATCGTCAACGAACATGGCATCAATACACTCGTATTCTCAGGGTACTTGACTCTACACAGCATGCCTCAAAATGACCAAGAGAAATGATATTAGTATTGATATAATCAGACCCCTGCTTGTACGAACAAATCAAAGATCTCTGCCGACTTTTGTTATGTAGATTTGACAGAAGAAAGAATTCTCTATGCTAAAATTCTGCTGTCATAGAATAAATAAGGTATTTAACTTATACCCATCGTTGACATGTATAACCACCGAAAAATATATGCAGGTAAGCAGTAGATTTCAACATCTACTAGTGATTGGAGGAAGAGGCGCGAAATAAAATTAGATGATTAAACGAACTTACCTAAGTAATGTTCCGTCATAATTCTATGAAGCACCTCTTCCGAATCAGAGATTAGTCTCAGGCAATCCTTTCATCTCGCTTCTTCCTTTCGAGTCCCTTCCGCTATGACATTACCTTGTAGAAGTGACGTGGCCTTCCGCAACCAGTGTGGCGTGGGGCAGCGAACACAAATTTGTTAAAAGTTTTCAATTGTGGCACCATTTATGGCAGTGGAGGTACTACTAGCGATCATTCGGAAGAGACACTTCATAGAATTATTATAGAACTTTACTTAGGTAAGTTCGTTTAATCGTTGAGTTTTGTCCCAGCATTGTTGCATGCAGTATGCGACATTTGGTGGTATAATAAAGACAGATAGATAATAAGTTTTATGGTTCAGTAATTTGAACAGAATTTTTTGTGCAACAATAATGGAGCCTGTAACGTTGTAGATTTCTTTTTAATATCTGCCTCTCTTGTTAAATCCAGGAATTTATAAGAAAAATTTTAGATAATTTTGAATTTCAAGAAATATGCAGTGAATTATTTCTACAATTTACATTTAGACCAATAGGAACACGAGATGTTACATCGTCGATTGCATGCTAGATTCATAATTTTCCCACAATACTAGGAATGTATTTATGCAATGCAGTAGAGTCGCTCTCATTACTAACTCTTGAATTGGCCAAATTTTCCCTCCAAGTCTCCACTCTCTCCAAAAACTTTCCATCGTCCATGGAAAGTTTTCACTCAAAACAATTTCTATTGCTTACCTTTCCAGTAAGCCGAACCTTTTCACGGGTTTACACTGCCCACCGACAGAGCAAATTGTATAAAACGCTCCAATCAAGAA